TAAGTGTGGAAGCCTGTTCGTAATGAAGTAAAAGATGTGGCATTTATTTGCTCACAGCTGCTTAGTGGAGGGAATTTGGGGCATAGTAGAGTGCTGTACTCACACCTATTTCCCCTACAAACAAGCCTCAGAAACTAGCCGGGGTGCCCGCCTTCTCTCAGGAGCCCACATCTGAACTCTTATTAAATCAACACCTCCTCCTGATTTTCCTCCCAAAATGGAGTCCTCAAGCTTCCTTGAGCCATCAGCTGAGGTCTCTCTCTCCTTGTCGCTGGTGTGGGCTCCCTGCCCGGAGCCCCAGTTCCATAGACCTCATCCTACACACCCTTTTTTCCTCCCCTAGGTAGGACAAGGGAGGACTGGAGTACAGACAGGGTCACAGAGTAGAAGCAAGATAGAGATGGAAACCTATGGAAATATATATGATGTATGTTTGGAAAGAGCAATTCATCATTAGCTTTTTCAAGTCAACCTAAATGAATTCAAAATCTACTGAGTGCCTGTTAAATACCAGGCTGGAGAACAGTCCTGATACTCAGAGCCCATGGGGCTCAGGAATGAGCTTCCTGCTTCCCACCCACCCCACCCCTTTTCCTGCATTTTATTCTTCATGTAGGCCAGCTCACTTTCCTATTCCCCATATAAAGCCACTTGGCACTCATGATTCCCAAGGTAGGACCCATGCTGCATGCCTCTAGACCCAGCTCAGGGAGACCAGTGTGGGACCAGTGATTAGAAAAATCTCCTGCTTCCCTATATTTTGCAGAGCTAGCTCTGAAAGTTCTTGCTCAGATCCTAATGCTCTGTGCATACAAAGCCGGCCCATCCAACTGTGGTGAGACCAGGGACCCTACTCCTCTGAGGCGACTCTCCTGAGAACATGCATTTGGAGCTTTGCAACATGTGAAGACATGGTCCCTTCCATGCAGATGTTCACAGCAGCATTATTCCTATCAGACAAAAAGTGGAAACTACCCATATGTCCATCAAAACATGGTCTGGCCCTGGCATGCAGTATCATCCAGCCATAAAAAGGAAGGAAGTGATTCACGCAACAGCATGGATGAACCTCAAAACATGATGCCAGGTGAAAGAAGCCAGACACTAAAGGCCACGTACTCTATGATTTCATTTATAGAAATGTCCAGAAAACACAAATCTGTAGAGAAAGGAAGTACATCAGTGGTGGCCTAGAGCTGGAAGTAGGTATGGAGAGTTAGTACAAATGGGCCACGGTTTCTTTCTTTGGGGTGATGGAAGCAAGGTTCTAAAATTAGGTGGTGGTGATAAGCACACCCCTGTAAATTTCCCAAATATAAATTCATCGTAAAAACAAATAAAAGAGTGAGAGAAAAGAAAGGAGAATCGGTGAAATATTTTTAAATCCCTGTATAACTTTTGAATTTATATTTCTGTTTCTGGTTATTATAATGGTCATGGTTATTGTAAAGAAAATTTACAAAAGAAAAGTATTATTTTAATGTTAATTACCTGGAGAGATAATCACCATTTAGGCTTTGGTATATTTCTTTCTAATCTTTTTCTATTTCTAATTATATATTTTTAACTGGGATTACACTATGTTTTTAGTTGTGTCTCTTACTAACAAGATATAAAGTATATATATGTTTAAAACATCTGAGTGATGGATCCTATCAGAAAAATCTCAGTATTTTCTGGCTAAAGTGGAAATCCTGTTTGGTCAGGATTCTGAATAAGATCAAATTAAAGAAAATACCTATGAACCAAGGTGTCCCAGGCCAGCTGCCTGAACAGCAAGCACTCAGCCCTACTTACAGGGTCTGCAGTGCCTTCAGTATGGAGGAAGGTGTGTTTCTCTGGAAGCAAGACCATGACCTTCATCAAATTCCCAAACGGGAACCCACCTCCCATTCCATTTAAAACCCACTGCCAGGCATGGTTCCTCTCTCCAGGGCCCTTCCTTCTCTTAACCTATGAAGACAGAAGCCCGTGCAACCGCAGGCAAATCCCTCCACTCATTTGGAGGGTGGACATCCTCTGATCCGTAAGCAGCTCCCCTGAGAACGTGGCCCATGGGCTCCTCTGGGGGAGCTGCAAGGAGGAGAAATCAAAATTCTAGCTCCATATCCTAGGAGTTTTGCTCAAATTGAGGCTTTGCCCCTATTGGAGTAGAAAATCCATGAAGGAGGGCCCAGTTTCCATCATGCTTTGGTTCTGTGTGTCATGAAACCCAGAAGTTCCAATATTTCCTGGGCCGCCGGAACTACTGGAGCCAAATGGGCTTGTGAAGAGTCATATTTTGAATTGCATCTGAATTTTGGATGGTGATTTTTTTCTCCATCCTGTGATGTAAACTGGGAGAGAGTATTTTCCTGAGAAGTTTGAGAGTCCAGTCTTCACCTTATCCATGAAAAAAACAAGCTCATTTTCCTTGATTTCAGAAGAAGACATCACCAGACATCCCAGGCCTGGGAATAGCACACAGGGAAACGAAGACAGTCGTATAATTAAGTTCATGAGAGGCCGATTCTTACGGCCATATTTCAAATACTCATAATGCCTTTTCATCCATTCTACCAAATGACGGCTCTTCATAATATATTCAGAGCGAAAAAATATAATGGATTCCTCGGAGATATTCAATTATTCAATAAAAAAAAGGAAAAATAATTTTTCAGTAAAGAAATTCAACCAAATGACTAAAGCTGACAGTGAAAAACCAACCTCAAAGTAATTATGCATTTCTTTTGAGTCCTTGCTCCAACAAAAGTTGATGACGGGTCACCATTAGAAATAGCCATCCTTCTGCTGATGGATGACGGTGGTGTTTCGATGTTAGCAGATATTTATTGGAATGTTTACTCTGAAACTGTCATTGGGTGTTGATATATTTCAAGTTCCACCAGCCCTGCTAAAAAATGTCTATTCTCACTTCTTCATGACTCACTGCTCAGCTACCTCCAAGCTGGTTTCTTCCCCATCAGTGGACGCCTCTCCTAAAGAAGTCACCAGTCCTCTTCTCCTTCAAAATCACATGGCTTCTCTTTACCCCTTCTCCTGTGGGGCATCACGACCCATTTCACAGCTGTTCATTGCCTCCTCTTCCAATTTGCGTCCCCTCTGTCTTCTGCAAACCACCAGCTGTGCTTTCAATTCTGGGGTTTCCTAGGCCCCCACCCCCCTGCCCTTCTGCCCTATCACGTTGGGTAACCTGATTGGCTAGGACCCTTTCAAAGCATCTGTGCGGACAGGTCCTCAGTCACTACCCAGTGCAGGCGAGTCTCCTAAGCTCTGCGTGCTTCTAGACGGGTGCACTGAATCTGAGGGGCTGTTAGCACAGTTGGAGCTGAACTCATGTCTTTCCACTCCCCACTACTTTCTGGTTTTGGGGGGCTCCCTGCCCCCGGCAGCCTTATCCAAGTGCCTGATCACCAAAACAAGACATTTCTTTCTTATTCAAACTGCTCACATCATGCTTCAATCTGTTGCTGGTCTCCCTGCCTCCAGTGTCCAACATCTCCTGCCAATACCACGTGTGTTTCTAAAAATCAGATCAGATTGGCCCACTGCCTCTCTGAAAAACCTCCGGTGACTTCATGTGGTCTGGAGACTCAGTACCAGCACCTGGTTGTGAAAGTCAGGCCCCATGCTCTCCCAGACATCTCAGGGCTTGTCTCCTTGCTCCTTCCATCCACTCTAACAGCCCATGATGGCGCCAGGTGACATGGCCTGCACCCACGTAGGCCAGGAGAGAAGGCTTGAGCCACAGCCAGTCTGAGTGTTGGCAGATGTCTTATGATCCTCCCAGAACGGTAGGCACAGGAGACTTGTAGGAGCTGCGATAGTCCATTTCCCACTGGCCTCCCTGGGTCCCCTGGGAGGCTGTCACCAGACAGCTTCTCACGTCCTTCTGGGCCGATGAGGGATGAGGCTTCCTGCCTGGCCCTCCGAGGGGCCCAAAAGTGCTGGGAAGCAGCTTCCAGTGGCCCCTCAGCCACAGGGCTGGAGATACCTGGCCCCGTGTGCTTAGTGTCACCTGCCCAAGGGCCACCTCTGCCTACTCGCCCTTTTACTGTCTAGGTCAGGATGGAATAACGAGCCTGAATCTGAAAAGGACTCGCCATGTCTTCACCGGCAGAATCTGTCAGACCTCGCCTTGTCTTGCACTGGACACATGAACCCGGTGCTCAAATACTCACTACCCTGCGAACCCCCATGTGATTCAGAACTCAACTTGAAACTCGATGAGTGTTTCCAGAAATAAAGTGTGAGGTGAAATAAAATTGGGCTTGGAAGTACACATGAGGATAGGAAAAATAAAATGGAGCCAGACCTTAGGTTAGGCATAAAATTAGAGTACCGGATTTGAGAGGTGCGCCAAATCCTTTTTGGAATAGGGCAAATCTGTATGCTTGCGATTTGTGGCCTGCGAATTTGGATCCAACTTTTCTCACAGAAATTAGGAACTGTTAATGAGTGCTTGGTCCCAAGAGAAAACCTCTGATATCTAGATGATTAAAAATAAATTTAGGGAAAGGTAAATAAACTCACTCTGAGTCTTCAAAACCTGGATTAGCGCTCTCTCTCTCTCTCTGCAGTCATCTACCCAGTTAGAGCTTTTTCATACGTACAAAACCCGGTCTTCTCTCATGGGGCCTCCATCCTCCATGTACCATCAACACCTGTGAACACCTGGCTATTTAGATAAAAGGTTTCATTCGCTAAGTGAGAAAAGGTCCTATTTATTTTATCCATTCTTTGCTTTCAGGGTGTTAGGATGGCTTGTGTGCTAGAAGCTTCGCATTCTAAGTTAGGTAAAGGCTAAAGAATTTAAATCAAAAGTTCTATAGATGAGAAAAGGCCACTAGACTTGATACAAATACGTAAGCTATTCGGTCAGTCCTGTTCGAACCCTATTAGCGATAATAAAGGGGTCAAGTGCCCTGGAGGAGGGCACTGTGGCCGATTGCTCTGGCCTGGGCCCAGCTGCCTGCTAACCTCTCCCTCCTTCCCCATAGGCAACCCTCCTGCTACTGGGACCGGAACGTTGCTGATCACTCTGGAGGATGTGAACGACAACGCCCCCTTCATTTACCCCACAGTCGCTGAAGTCTGCGACGATGCCAAAAACCTCAGCGTCGTGATTTTGGGAGCATCAGATAAGGATCTTCACCCCAATACAGACCCTTTCAAATTTGAGATCCACAAACAGGCTGTTCCCGATAAAGTCTGGAAGGTCTCCAAGATCAATAGTAAGTCGGGTTACACGTTCTGTGGCTGCTCCTTTGGCTTTGAAGCCTCGTTTCCCTGGCTTGTCTTCCTTTCCCACAACTGTTCCTCCCTCCTCCTCTCTCCTTTCCTCCATGCTCTGCATCTTACGCCCTCCATCCTACGCTGGTAGAACAATCTTTCTACAGTCTTAGCCTCCAACCCTCCATCTTGCGCTTTACGTGGGAGACCTCCTCAAAATTAGCTGTATCTTTGCCACAACCGTGGCTTTGATGTTCGACCATGATATCATCACGCATCTGTCCTGCCCCTCACCTATGAGACTTGCAAGCCATGTCCCTTTCTACCAGCCTTTCCATGTGGGAAGGTGGAATTCAAAACTCGGCCTGACATTTTCCATACGTGATGAATTAGATGGCATCCCTATACCCACAAGCACCTGCTTCCCTCCCTGTGGCAAATGTGAAATCACTACGAAGTTCACCTTGGTTTGCAATAAAGTAAAAAACCAGAACCCAAGCACTGGATGCACACTCTCTCCAGTAGCGAACTTCCCCTGCAGCTGACCCAGCCAGGGTACCCTCCTCATCCACCAGCGGTAGAGTTTTCGAGAGGGATTGGGAATTACTAATTTCATTAAGTCTTGAAAATGGGTTGTACAAGTGTGCATAAGATTTTCTATTAAAAAATCTCATATGTATTGAATGGCCTTATGTCATATCTCATTTTATTAGTGCCTTCTTCTTGTTCTTGATTCCATTTGCCTGTTTGTCTATTTTATTGCTTTTTTAAAGAATGAGTCCTGTTATGCTGATTACTTTTCATTAAAACAGCCCTCCTCTTGTCTGAGGGGTTAGCACGCTTCCTTTGCTAGTTTTTGTGGCTATAGTGGATTGGAATAACCACCACCAGCTCTTTCCAGAAAGTCCCAGCTGGAACTTCCTTACTCAAGCTTCTCTTCTCGTCCACATGAGTGAGATGGGGAGACTGTTCCTTGCATTAACCCGTCACGCAACTGGGGTGACTACACACGTTGCTTATTTCTGCCACTTCTCCTTCTGGTCAGGATGACCTGTTTCTGTTTTCGTGTTATTGCTCTGTTTCCCTCATGGTTTTATTTAAGAGATAGATGAATTTTCAGTTCTTTTCCTGGTCCCAGTTTTGGTATTTTTTTTTTTTAATACCCAGCACTGTTCATGCCCAGAAAGGGGAGAGTCAAAAAAAGGGGCGGGGGGATGGCACCTGGGTGACTCAGTCAGTTGGGCTCGGGTCATGATCTCAGGGGTGTGAGGCTGAACCCCGCATCGGGCTCCACATTCAGTGTGGAATCTGCTTGAGATGCTCCTTCTCCCTCTGCCCCTTCCCCCACTCATGGGCTCCCTCTCTCTCTTTCTTTCTAAAAAAAAAAAAAAAAAAAAATCCCTAGTCATCTGAGTTACTGAAGAGATAATAGCCCGAGGCCAAACACAGGGGCCAGGTGGGGTGGCCACTTTTGCATGCTGCCCAAGGCCAGGCTCATAGCACACACTCCCACCAAACAGGGGCCGAAATGTCAGTGCCCCTGCTGGGGTGGTGTGTCACATTCCCACCCAGATCTAGAGCTGTGGCTGAGGACCAATAAAGCTATAGGCTATGGAACCTGTCCCCATGGCCACACCCAGGGGTCGTGTCCACGTTTAGAGTGAGTAGATGGTTTTGGAGTGGTTGGGTTTTTTTTCTTTTGGTCTAAGAATTTATTTTGATTATTTGACTTTGGATTCTTAAAAATGCTTTCAGCTGATCATTTCATTTTTTTCTCTTTTTTACTTTTTTCCACCTTCATTGAAGTGTAATTAACAAATAAAAATTGTATATAGTTAAGGTGCACACTGTGACGATGGGAAAATGGGTTTTTAAGTCAGTTTTTCTGGATGTCGAATGTGATCTTGGCAAAGATAGTTTTATCGGTGTAATAAATCTGCAGGGAGGAGTTCTTAGTAGGCTGTCACCTTCACAAAAGTGGGTCCCCTTGAAATAGATTATCACACCACTGAACCACAGGACTTTTGGCCATGGAATGTTCTATCCGGCACCATCGGATGCCACAGCCACCAGCCACACGTGGTTGCTGGACACTTGAGGTGTGGCTAGCACAACTGAGGAGATGAATTTGAATTTTTAAGGGATTTAAGTTTAAACGCGCCCGTGGTTATAAACCAACACACAATGCCTGATTGGCGTGGTTTTCATCGCCAAAACCTCACCCTTTTATTTGGGAAAGTCTAACCCTCTCTCACAAAGGTCCTCCTTGTCTCCCCCAGATACGCATGCCCTGGTAAGCCTTCTTCAAAACCTGAACAAAGCCAACTACCACCTGCCCATCATGGTGACAGATTCAGGGAAACCACCCATGACGAACATCACAGACCTCAGGGTACAAGTGTGCTCCTGCAAGAACTCCAAAGTGGACTGCAACGCGGCGGGGGCCCTGCACTTCAGCGTGACCTCAGTCCTGCTCATGTCCCTCTTCAGTTTGGCTTGTAAGTAGCCCAGCTCGGGTGCATGCACAAGTGTGAACACCTAACTTCCCCCAAGCCCCTGTTTTCCATAGAGCTTTCCAAAAAATTCATTCCCAAGGAAGCATTCATTCTTGGTTTATGTCTGTATAACAGTGTTTCGTGTAAAAGTGTTCCAACTACTGTTGGAAGGCACCTTCACGTCCCCCCGCCAGCCAGTCTGGGGAGTTGTGCAAAGGCATTCAGGGCAACCCACAGACCAGGTGACGAGAAAACGCCCTGCTGATGACACCAAATTTAAGCTAATAAGAACGTGCCACGTTAGGGAACTGGTCTACCAGGGCCTTATTTCTCTCTGCATTGTGCAGAAGAATCTTCAGCAAGGTTAAAGTAGGTACTCTGCCTTTTTAAGAACAGTCATGAGAATTCACGGAGGGAGGCTGGGCTGTAGGAAAAGAGATAAATGCATAATTCATACTTTTTTTTCCCGCTGACTGGTAGTAATGGCTGTAATATAATGAAGCGTTATTTTAAACAAATGAATTGTTATGCTGAGTAATATAAAGTGAGCATAAAATGAATAGATGTGTGTATCAGATATTTCCTATGCATGGAGTACTAGCCCAACGTTAACCTTAGCAATTATGCACACGTAGGTAATGCCATTCACGTCTTCTTGGGCTTTGGTATTTATATTTTGAGAAGTGTAAGTGTGAATTGGGAACTTGAGAAATTGCTTATTGGGGAAAAAAAGGAACAGAAGTTATGACTTCCCGGGGACAGTGGTAAGTGGGGTTAACAGGAAGTCACGCATTCCAACCTCAGACATTTACTTTGTATAAAGCTCTGCGCTGGGTCAGCATCCTGGGGCAGAGCTAAGGAGAACATCTTACAGTGAGAAGTATCTCTTTGGATGGATGAATGGGATGGAAGGACAAATGGATGGATGGATGGATAGAAGGATGGATGGATGGACAGATAGAAGGATGGATGGGTGAATGGTTGGTTGGATGGATAGTTGGATGGATGGGTGGTTGGATGGATGGATAGATAATGATGGTTGGATGGATAAATGGAAAGAAGAAAGGTGGATGAAAGAAAATACATTCCTCCCTTTCTTTTCTTCTTTTTCTTTCTTCTTTTTTTTCTTTCTTTTTCCTTTCTTTTCAAGAAATAAACTATTACAGATAAAGGTGAAACTCCTATGTTTTTCTCCCCAGTTTCATTTCCTATTCTTTCTCCCCGGAGAAAATACTATAATGACTTAGAGTGTGTCCAGATGTTATTTTTGGTTTTTTATTTTTTAAACATTTTTATTTATTTATTTGAGAGAGAGTGTGTGTACACACATGAGCAAGGGGGAGGGGCAGATGGAGAAGACTCTGCACTGAGCAGGGAGCCTGACCTGGGGCTTTATCCTAGGATACTGAGATCATGACCTGAGCCGAAAGCAGATGCTTAACCGACTGAGCCATCCAGGTGTCCCCAGATGTTATTTTAGATGTTTACTACACACACATGCATACACACACAGATACACACACACGCCACTTATAGTTCTACTTTGTGCAGCTTATAAAACTTTATGTAATTCATGTTATCCTGAGCATGATGTTCTGTAACTTGCTTTTCTTCCTCCCCACATTGCATTTCCAAGGTTCTTCTATGTTCTCCTAATTTGGGGGTTGGCAAACTTTTACCAGGAAGGGCTGGGCAGCAAAGATTTTGGGCTCTGTGGACCACATCAGCTTTGTCACATATTCCTTTTTATTGCTCTTTTGTTGTTGTTTCTCTCTTTTGTTTTTCCCCACTCTTTAAACATGGGAAACCATTCTGAGCTCAAGAGCCACACAAACACACTCTAGCCCAACAGCTGTAGGTTACCCCTGCCCCAGTCCTTTCATTTTAACTGATACAGAGAATCTGTCATATGAACACTATGCAGTGTATTCCCCAGTCAACAGACACAGCAGGATTATTTACAGTGTCCTTCTCTGATCAGTTCTATTGCAGTAAACATCTGGAATCTGTTTTCCACCAGCTTCTCAAGTTAGTGCTGGACAGACAGCAAGCCCAGCACTAGGTGTGGTTCCTAAGAGCCACTGGAACTCACACAGAACAGAGCTTGAGTAAACTAGAGGGCAGTACTTCTTGTGTGACTGTAAAGAAAAAAGCGCGTCGTGCATGTATCTGTCTGTCTGTGTGTGTGTGCACACACGTGCACACAAATGTGTGTGTACACAGAGAAAGAGATGGTAATGGAGTGGCCACTCACACATCAGCCTCCATAAACCCAGTTACACAACATCAAACCCTGACTCTCGATGACACTTCTTGGCTACTCTGGACTGCCAGTGAGTTTTTAAAATGGAGACTTCCTGAGCATGGTGGACGAGGAAGTATTTAGTTTGCCGAAGAAGTGTAAGAAGAAAAAGGAGCGGAAGTCATCACCAGAAGATGATGTAGCATAAATACAACACACTGAAGAATTTCTAATCACACGTGAGTCCAAGGTGGCTCAGATGGACACATCTCAGTGGCCCCTGTTGCTCAAGGACTTTAATAAGCTAAATGTGAGGACGACACACTATACACCTCTTCCTTGTGGTTCGAATACTCTGAAGTGGGAGACTGGGGACTATATTAGGACAGCTTTCATTCATCTTGACAAGCACCTCCAACCCCTCTTCCCATGAGGTGGTAGCCTGGATCCAGTGGATACTTTGTGTGTGGAAGACAGGACGCAGTGGTATTCTGGGTCCCAATGGGAGTGGCTTGTTTAATCGTGTGCACAGAACAAGCCACTCGTTGAAATCCCAACAGAGTTCATGCAAAGAGTATGTGGGAATTGTCCGGCTACACAGTGCTCTCGAAGGGAGCGCTCAACTTTGTGGGGCCCTAGGAACTCCGACAGGTGCCTTATTCCAGGGACGCCCACTTATTGCTGCAGGAAAGACGCAACTCTGAGTGCGGACCATATGCAAGAGCAAGATGATCAAGTATGATCCTGAAAGAAGACTAGGAATCTGGAGTTGTGAGGCCGGCACCTATATTCAGATGCTGTGTGTGCACCTTGCTTCATTATTGGGAGTGGGTGGTCAGATGCAGGAACTTCAGAGGGTTCATTCTGGGGTCGTGAGCAGAAAGGACCATCTGGTGGCAATGCCCGATGTGCTCGATGCCCAGCGATTGCATGACAACCACAGGGATGAGGCTTATCTGCGGCAAGCTGTTCACCCTTGGAAAAGCTGCTGCCTTCTCATCAGTGGCTGGTGATGAAAGACAGCGCAGTGACCACAATCCACTCTGGGGCAAAGATCATGCTTCTAGGGGTTCTCCGGTTTGAGGATGGCATCAACGTCACTCAGGAGATGGTGGTCATCACCACCAAAGGGGAAGCAGTCTGCGTGGCTGTTGTATTAATGACCACAGCAGTGATCTCTACTTGGGACCAGGGTATGGTAGCCAAGATCAAGAGACTAATCATGGAGAGACACACTTACCCTCGGAAGTGGGGTTTAGGTCCAAGGGAAGTCAGAAGAGGGTGATGATCAAGCAGCCCCTTCCGGGTCAGCACGGCAAGGCCACAGACAGCACGCCTACCACCAGGATGCAGGAATATGTGGACCACAGTGACCGCAAAGAGAGGGGCGCCTCATGGCTCAGTCGGCTGAATATCTGACTCTTGAATTCGGCTCAGATCATGATCTCTGGGGTTGTGAGATTGAGCCCCTCATTGGGCTCTGCACTCAGCAGGGCGTCTGCTGCTCTCTCTCTCTCTCTCTCTCTCTCTCCCCCCCACCTCTGTCCCTCCCCCAGCTCACACATGCACGCTCTCTCTCGCTCTCTGTCAAATTAATTAAAGAGAGAGAGAGGTGGTGGCCAAAGTGGTAAAAGCCCCAAAGCGGCAGTGAGAGACTGAAGGAGGAAAAGAAGAAGAAGGTTAAGAAGGCCAAAGCTGCTCTGGAGAGTTGGGTGATCCAGGACATGGGGATAGTGATACCACCAAAAAGAAGAAGGCGGCGGCAATAAAAGTGGGAGTGGCTTCTGGGTCATGGACACCACTTTAAGCACTGTGCCCAGCTGGGAGGAGAAATTAAAGCCTTCCTGAGAAAACAGAAGTCCTTTTGTTCTTGAGAGAACCAGGAGGGGTGGAGAGATCCGGCACATCGGAGCTGCTACCTGAGAACTACCTGATGCTCCCTGGTGTGGGCCTCCCATCCTGTCCTGTTTGAAGGATAAGGGTGAAGGAGGCAGGTTCGATGGCACGCCCTTCTCTGCTTGGGAGAGTTAGGACACCTCTCCTTGAGACCCAGGACAGCCCAGGAACCATCTGCAGCCATTTCCCGATGGCTGTCTTAACAGCATAATTCTCTCCTGGATGGCACCGACCCATTTAAAAAGTTTCTAAACATCACTCAGTGAAATGGTGGGGGGCAACTAAAAGAATAGAACTGAACCACGTTGTTCACTGGGGGGATAAATCTTTTCTCCCTTGTCCTATGAGGACAGCAGTCTGTTCTGATGTCAGAGCTACCTGTCACCCCACATTTCCCTTGTGGATTATTTCCAGCCCATCCCTGGCTTGGTGGTCCCCTGTGTCCGAATTGGGAGCCCGTGCGTACAGCTCCACGCACCTGAATCCCTCTGCCTACGTGTGTTTGTGACAGAAGCTAAAAAATCTGCTCTGTAGTCTCCTCTTTGAATCCTCCCTTCCTTTCAAAGGATGCAATCACTCCTCCCCGGTGCTGGGAGAAGGTTGTAATTTTTACCTATTTTAATAGGATGGAGACTTCCTACCTCTGCTTGTTGAAATACAGATTTCTGGGCCCATCCGACCTGTGGAACCCACATCCCAGGTGACACTGGCCTCCAGCACACGGACCCAGTGTTTGTGCATATTTATACAATGTTTTTGGTAAAAATACACGTCTGCCACTAGCAATCCATATATTGCATATTAGTAAGACTTAACCTAATTGTGTAGATTAAGGGGAATATAAATAATGGGGCAGCATTTTCCT